ATTTTCAAAAAAATTTCCAACCGGCATCCGTTGGAATTCGGTTGGAATTTTTTTAAAAAAATTTCCAAAAAAAATTCCAACCGGCATCCGTTAGAATTCCGTTGGAATTTTTTTTTAAAATTTCCAAAAAAATTTCCAACCGGCATCCGTTGGAATTGTTTTCTAACAAACATCCGTTGGAACTCCGTTAAAAATTTGCAACCGATTTTTCCAACGTTAATCCGTTGAAAATTTCCAACGGATATCCGTTGGAAATACCGTTGGAAATTTCCAACCCAATTTTTCAATTGAATATGTTGAAAATTCCATTAAAAATTTTCAACGGGTGTTTCCAAGGGATACCCGTTGGAAATTTTCAATGGAATTTTAACGGAAATCGTCGTTGAAACGCCGTTGAAAACCGTTGAAAATCCGTTGGAAATTTTCTAACGGACAAATCCGTTGGAAAATCCGTTGGAATTCAAGGATTTTTTTGTAGTGTCTCTCAAATCTGCAGTTGGTGGCCAGATCTCGTCAAGCTCTGTCCAAAGGGCACAGAACTCGCTTTGGATCTTGTTAAAAGGTTGACCGTTTTGCTGCAATTGGAATATTTTCTTCTTTATCTCGAATATTCGGCTGATGTTGGACAAATTTCCATACACCTTCTTGAGGCCATCCCAAAGGGACTTAGCGGAGTCCATAGCAATGAAAGACTGCAGTACTTGCTCATCCAATGAGGCTTGCAGAATAACAAGAGCCCACTGATCAGATTGATACCATTTGGCCTTAGCTTTTGCAGTAGCATCAGCTTAGGTTTGGGCAGCATTCGCATCCGGCAGTTCCCCAGCAACGGCCACTTCCTGTGGAGGGGTTTCAGAGAAGAAATCAGCTGTTACATGTTCCCAAAGACCAGTACTACTAAGCACGACTTTGGCAGCCTTGGACCAATAGAAGTAGTTATCTCCATGGAGAACAATAGGGATGGTTTTGGATTGGATTTCCATGGCAGAAAAATGAAGAAGACAGGGAACAGAGAAAGAGAACAAACGAAGTGGAGATTTCAGAGACGGTTGAAGCAGAGACAAATCAACAGAAGCGAAGATCGTCTCGCTCTGATACCATGAACAAAATCAGAGTTTTGTGTATAGTTTCGGGTTCTCAGCTAATAGTGCCGGCGAAGATGAGTTTAGGGTTGAAGAAGAAGATGAAAAAAATAAACAGAAGAATTCTTTTCTTGATAATATTACACCATGATGCGTTGTATATATATACAGATATGCAAGTTTTAAAGAAAAGTAACGTATGTTAATGACAAAATATACAAGGAGGGGTTCGCCTCCAGGTCAGGTGGTAGTGAGCATGGGGAGCATCCATGAGGTGGGGAGTTCGATTCCTCGCCGTCTCACTTCCTCTGATCTGCTCGCCTGCCAGCCTGTCATAACGGGCTGATTTACCTTCTACGCATGTGTTGCAGGCTCGTGCGCGTGGGCTTGGGGTTTGACCCGCAGGCGCCTAAGCCCAACTACGGCCCGAACGTTAGGCGCGCCTGGTGGCCAGGTCCGGCGGACTGAGGTCCATGGGGACTGTTAGGTGCGGGTGGTGGCCAGTTCGTCTCCGTTTGTAAGGGTATGTAGTCACGGGTTCCCCAATGTATCGAAAAAAAAAATATACAAGGAAACTTAATATCTTGTGTGACAAAAAAGAAAATGAGATTGAGAAAATATCGGTGTTGCCTTGTTCTTCGATAGTCAAGGCTGAGTTTCAGCTCCTCCCGTATTATCTTCAACATGAATTGGGTACAATAAAGTTTAAATTCGAGGAAAAAATAACAATGTAACCTTTTTCTTGGCGTTTTAAATGGATTTTTTTATTGGTTTTGTTGGCTTTAATTGGTTTAAAAATTAAGAAATAATGGTTCCAACTTTTTAAGTTTTAGTTATAAAATAAATGAAAATATAAATGAAAAATTTTAATTATTTAATTAAACTACAAATATTTAAAAATATAAATGAAAATTTCGTTTTTAGACATATATTTAAAACCATTATATTCATGAATTTATCTATTTGGATTCTAAATAAAAACATTTTAAGATTGCAAATGAATATAACAAATAAAATTTAAATTAAAAGAAGAAAAGATAAATTATTAAAAAATTTAGATTTTTTTAATTTCTTTAAAATTATTAGATTTGTGTAATATGATTTTTTTTTGGGTGTGTAAATGTATTTGTGAGCAATGCAATATGGTTTTATATGCCCTAATTCTCAGCCCCGTCGTGTCTCCCTCCCGCCATTTCACTCTTCAGTGCCAAAAGCTTCCGCCAAAAAAAGAATGGCGACAACAAAGGAAATCAAATGTCTTCTCATCATTTCGACGTTAGACTTCTGAAAGACATGGCTTCCTCTACAGCTAAAACCCTTATGGATTTCTTCCAACCCGCCAAACGCCTCAAAGTCTCTCCTTCTTCCTCCCCCACCGCCCCCGTCTCCGTCTCCGTCGTCGCCGCCGCAGGAGAACGATCCTCTGGTTCACCGCCGCGCAAAACCCTAGCCACCGCTGTATCCGGAGATTCCTCCGGTCTCACTCCCGACCAGGCTTCTCGCGTCGAGTTCAACAAGCTCCTCGCCATGTCCAGACGCAATCTCGCTGTCTGCTCCGAGAAAGTCTCCAAAGCTAAAGGTTTATCCTTTTTTGTTCCTGTCGATTTCTTTGAATTTCTGGGATCCGGGTCATGTGGGTTTCTAGGTTTTCAGAGAAATGGAGGGAAAATTTTATGATTTTCGGATTGTATTTGCAGCTAGAAGTCATGATGATTTCTTCAGAGTTTCTGGATTTCTGGAATCTGGTCATTGTTGACTCCTAGGGTTTTCAGAAAACGGAGAGTATTCTTACGAATGCTTGTATGGTTTTTTAGCTGAAGGAAGATGCTATGTGCCATTGGAGGAGCTCTTAGTGGAAAAGTCATGGCTTGAAGCTCTTCCTGGAGAATTGCAGAGACCTTACGCCAAAGTTCTCTGTGATTTCCTTGAACGTGAGATTTGCGCCAATGGCGGTCCTCCTATTTATCCGCCGCATCACTTGATCTTCAATGCCCTTAACACAACTCCTTTTCACAGAGTCAAAGCCGTCATCATTGGACAGGTACAGATATTTGGGCTCTATGTCCTCTGTAGTCTGTACTGAGATAAAAGACATTACTTTTTCGATTATATTACAGAAGGTGAATTTTGAAAAGGGTTTACTGTTTGGAAAGAGAATGAATCCGAACAAGTCTGGAATTTAGAGTCTTTTGTGATGATCTTTGCACCCTTTTTGATATGCTTATGGATTCTGAGATGTTTTAACAAGTTACTTCTGTTTGTTTCAGGATCCTTACCATGGACCTGGTCAGGCGATGGGTCTGTCTTTTTCGGTGCCTGAGGGACAAAAGCTTCCTTCGAGCCTGATGAACATATTTAAGGAACTTAAGGAAGATCTTGGATGTTCTGTCTCACCCCATGGTAATCTGCAGAAATGGGCTGTACAGGTAGATAAGAGTTTCTCATGCATTTGTTATTTGATCTCAGTGTCTTTTCAGAATGTCAATCTATTCATTTTGATTTTCCTTTCTAGGGTGTTCTGCTGCTGAATGCTGTTCTTACAGGTAACTTTAGTTCACTTGTGGCTTTATTAGTACAAAGCGAGTTTCACCTTATTTTGGGTGGAGATGTGATGGTGGATGATTATCAACATCGCCTTAATCTCAATTTTAATTGGGGTCGGCCGCACGAATTCTTCGTTTTCACTCATTTCGGTTTTGAGTTAGCTCTTTCGAAATTTGTGCTAGATGTCTATAAAAGAAAGAACATTTGCTGATTCTAAGATAAAAGCAATGGAGTGGAGAAATGTTCAATCTTTAGATCATCTTTCGTTTCATCCCTCCTCAGGTAGAAACTATTCCTTCGGGTTCTTATTTCCGTGTATAACTTTAATCTGCTTTCGGGTTCAGTAAAGAGCAAACAACCTAATTCACATGCAAAGAAAGGATGGGAGCAATTCACGGATGCTGTGATTCAGAATATCTCGCAACAGAAGGAAGGAGTTGTGTTTCTCCTTTGGGGAAGATATGCTCAAGAGAAATCCAAGTAGGTTTATCCCTTTTGCACACGGTAAAGGCTGTGACTCATATCATGAAGAGTTAGCTTTGTAGCTCATCACATAGGAGAGAGCGCAGATGATGTTTAGGAACTAATGCTGTATTGTTTCAAGGTTGATTGATGGGAAGAAACATCACATTCTCAATGCAGCTCATCCATCTGGTTTGTCTGCAAACAGGGGCTTCTTCGGCTGCAGGTTAGCTCTCTTACAAAGAAAATCTTTCGTCGTTCTATATTCACATTCGTCGGCTTAAATTTGTTGAATTCCAAATGAGCTGGATCGGTACTTAGAGTGATCTTTCCACAGGCATTTTTCTCAAACCAACAAGCTCCTGGAGCAAATGGGGATTCCTCCCATAGATTGGCAGCTTTAGTCTCACTCGCACAGTTTTTCGCCAGAGACTCGGCATTTTGGAAGCCCTTTCGACGCATTTTTTTCGCCCTACATTTGCAAGCGAACCTTGAAAAAAACGATGCATTACTTACTACTGGCATTGTTACCTTTTGTAAATTCTACTATTAGGGGAACTCGCTTCTACTAAATGAACGTAGGATGTCAACTGTAGCCTGAGACTGGGAGTATGTTGCTTTTGGAGAAAGGGTTTACATATGTATAACTCCATTGTTTCAAGCTTCTTTGTCTAGTTCTTGTTTCTTAACTGGTTTCATGACATTCTAAAGAAACCATTAAATACAATCTCTGTAAGTGAGCAAGACTGGCATCAAACACAAATCTCAAGTTCCATTGAGGATGACAGAGATGATGAATGAACAAGAAGAGGTTTTTCATTAACCCAAATCAAATGCTGTTCAAGACAAAACAGTGGTATACTCCGGGAGTTGTCCGAGAAAGGACAGGACACAAACATTTTACAAGAGATGTTAACTCCAATCCGTCATCCGTGGGGCCATTCACACCAAGTCTTTAAGCCTCAACCGTTTTTTTATATCTCAAGGTGACTAATCTACAGGTTACTGAACCAAAGATTGCTCTTTTGCAATTTTACAGCGGCCAAGCTCCTACCAGTTTGCCTTATGAATTTTAACAAAGAGAGAGAGAGAATACGTTGATTCACAAGATTTTTTTCTCTTCATATCTTGTGTCTCTTCCTCAGGTTCCTTACTGGTGACACATATCTCGAAATAGAACTCGGGCACCCGAAAAACTTCACGAGGTTCTGACAGCTCTTTTCTCCATCTCCCTCGGTTCCTTGAAGTTGGCCTAAGTAGGTCTTGCCCTCATACACATAGTTAAGCTGTTGCCACAGCAGAACACTTAACCCAATCCCCACTGAAACACTTGCAACGAAAAGGTAGACAAGGACAAGCCCTCTACCAGACATGAAGACAGCGTCGGCTATGAAAGCAAGAGTCAGATTCTTCACTGCTCTCAGAGCTGATCCACTTGCTGGGGTTGGCAAGATATGAATCAAGGAGTATGCACACATAGAAGAAGCGTAGACTGTACTTACGATTGCTGAGATAAGGAATGCCACAAAGTTTCGATGGTTGCCTGCCCCAACACAGTTACCAATCTGCAATAACATCACATGCGAAACATCTTAAACCACACTTGCCCACATATCCTCCTCGAGGTATTACTACTAGCTACATCAAGGAAGTGAATTCGATTGATACCCTGAACAAAGAAGTCTCCTATCTATGGTTATATTTTAGCGATGAGGAGAAAACATATATGCATGTAAGCATGAAATGGTTTGGAATGATCAACTAGGTCTAACTATGTGAAACCCTTCTGCAGATACAAGAGTCAAGTCCAATGAAATTACTCAGAACTGATTAGCATGGACAGAAGAAGATGGAAAATAGCTAAGAAGAGACCGGTATTTCATCTATCTTGTGCTTAGCAGGAAAGCAGTGGTCTCTCCAAAAGCACGATAATGCAATGAAACCGGGAAAAGGAATGAGACTTACAAAGGGGCAATGGTGATCCATGTCGAACACACACATGCCACAGGTACGGCAGTGATGGGTCCTCATTGACTTGGGTTTAGAACAATAGTAGCAGAAGGTGTAGTTCTCGAGATAACCATTCCCTACTTGAGGGTAGCTTCCATATACAATGTTTGGCGATTTCCCGGGACATTTAAAGGCAACCAGCATAAAGGTTGAGAGTGTTGATATGGACAAAGATACTGTTACAGCAGAATGGACAATACCACAAGCTAAGCTGATAGAAAACACAACAGGATACACTGCCCAAACCCCACCACCTGCAGTTTCAGACAGAAGCGTGTCTTTGAGTTAAGATTAACAGAGACTTCTGGTAAAAAAAACAGTGGATGGGCATCAAAAACTTCATCTGATAAGAAGAGGAACTCACATATCACAAAGAGCATGAAAACAGAAAGAATACAGACGAAACACCGGTCACGGAAACGCCTCCACCTGAAGCTTTTGGTCTCGGCTTTTCCCTGGTTTTGATTTGTGATGGCTCCACACCAACCGCACTTGAAAACGGGGGAATAAGAGGGAAGAGCAAGACGTAATCCGCAGCCCCAGCAACTTGTCTCGTAGTCCTCAATGATGGTTGTAACAAAACTCTCCTATAGGTAGAGAGAGCAAGTTTAATCACATCAGTCAAGCCCATCAGTTTTTTTCTCAGTTCTTCTAAACAATGTCTGGAAACACTAGAGACTCTTATCTTCTGATGACATGGTAGATCAGACAACCGAAAGAAACAAAAAGGGCACCAGCAAATACCATTACATGACACAAGTTCAAACTTGAGTATCAATGAATGGATTAGAGAAGTTCAAGAACAAAAATCTTCCATGTCTCTTTCTCATTTTGTATTTTAAACATCAGATTCTGCCCTCCAACCCTATTCGACTAATACAAGACTATTTTTCATCAAAGCATACAAAACCATCATATTTCATCATTCATACCCCCAAAAACAGAAACATTGGCGGCAGTTTGATTCTCCTTATCAACGAGAAAAACCAAAATCCCATGAACAATTCGTGGAATGACAAAACTTGCATATAATATTTCCCCAAAAAGGTGACAACTTTTAATCAGGTGGAGAATCCTGAACAGACAGAGAGAGAGAATCAACCTGAGAAGAATCCTCCATGGTCTCTGCCAAGTTATCGGAGAAGAAAACCAGATTCAGACAGAAGATTCCACTCGATTCTTCAAAAATCTCATCACCCAATATCTTGGGGAAGTGACGAACACAACGAACTCGAACCACGCTTTTGGGTCTTTCGGATTCTTCGAAATCTCCGACAGAGTTGGACGCTGACGAGACGGAAAACGAAGCAATCAGCTCCTAAAGATCAGATCTTTGCGCAAAGATCTGAAAGATTCCTCGTCGAATTTGGCTTTCCGACCAAGTCGCTTTGATTCTGAGGAGAAGTATATTGGATTTCGACCGCACCGTTTTATGCACGCGTATATCTCTGTGTTTGGTTTTTTGAGGAAAAATGGATGTACTTTTGTCTCAACGTCACATTCTGCTACTATTTCATTTGACATCATGGATTTTCATGGTTTGGGGATCGGTGTTGTCCAGTTTAATTCGGTTTAGTTTAGATTTTGTTTGGTTTAATCCGGTTTGTGTTAGTTACATATAAATATTCTTGAATTACTAAATAAAATCAATCATTTTTAAAAATTATATTAAAAAATAGTTGTATTGTTGATATTGTTTAAATATATTGGTTGTAATAATATCTCATAAAATTTATAATTATATGTATTATAAATATGACGGAAGACTCTTACCTGAATTTAAATCTAAAGAGAAAAGTTTTAGATAATAAAAATTTATCTTCAATAATATCTGATTTCAGGTATAGAAAATTAGCTAGTCGAATGTCCTAGTTATATATTTGTAAATAATATAATATGGATTGGTAAATTATATATTCTGAATAAAAATCAGGATTTGGTACAGATATTTAATTCGGTTTGAGATGCATTTAACTTCGGCCGAATTAATTCTTTGAAAAAAAATCGGTTTTGTAGGGAA